CACCCAGATTTAAGTAGTATCTGTGGAATGTCGTCGGAGTAAAAGGGACTGTACTTTTACAGACTTTATGTCTTATAACATGAACAACCCGGACAGGGTCACAAATGGAACCACCTCACAATTGACACAAGACATGTGAGAGGCATATAGCAACAGGTCACAAAGATGGTAAGACTGAAGTTGTTTCTCCAACCCCCGAAAAAATTCCTCAAAGAACCAAAAACTCTGAATTTTGAAAGTAAAATACTATAATATAAAGAAATAAAATAAATAATCCTCTTCATCAGGGTTTTTAAGATCTGACTCCAGAATTTTTATCATGCCATACTGAATCCTAGCACAGAAAAATCAGATGGACTAGAGGTAAGTTCCAGGAAAACCGCAGTAATTCCTCCACTTTTAAAGGACATACACTCACCTGTCGAAGGTGAATGTAAACCGCATTCTGGAGAAATTCGGGAGCTTCTAGGCTCCGCTTCTGGATGGCAAGGACACGGACAGCTTTTAAGCATGCTTCTAACTGAGTCACAGGCATTCTTACACTGCAGGGTGAAACGGAGGCTCTCAGTGAAGAGCAGAGATGTTCCTGTCGTGTCTCACAGGCCGTGCCTCGGGGACTCAGTGCCCTACAGCAGCCTGGCACCGGACGAGGATCCTCAGTGTGGCCAAACCAAGCAGGAGGGGCACTGTGCTTGAGAAAGCCCATCCCCGATGGGGGCAAGAGGGGCTGGTGGGGTTGTGTGAACGTATAAATGCTCACAGAAATACACCTGTATACATTCAAGTGATACAATCAACAGTAGCAGGGTATTTAACACAATTTCAATTGTCAGTGGAAATTTTACCATTCCTTTCCGCTTGTCCCCTACACTCTGAGACAGGCTTAGGCTCTCTCACACCTGCAGCTCTGATGCAATAGTTGTGAAGTCATTTTACTTTGCTGCAAGTGTCTTCTCTCCCCGTGTCGCTGTGACTGTCGTCTCTTAACACAGTCAGATGTCTTCCTGGATCTCTCCCTGAGTTCCTTGCTCCTGTTTCTCAGATCCTAAGATAAAGTGAAGACACAGGACCAGAAAAGACACTGTGGACTGACCAAAGTCCTCAGTGACCCCCTAGGTGAGTGCTGCCCACAACTTACCTTCAGTTCTCAAGTTTCTGCCCAGGGTGATATCCAGACTGGAGAGAGTCCTGAGCCAATTAAAAGCTGTGTGGTTTGGGTGCAGGGACAGGTGCAGGAGCTGGTTCCAGAGCCGGGCCCCTCCACACCTCTGCCCCTCTCTCTCCCGAGGCCCCGCTGCCAAGCCCCCAGGCTCTCTGATATTCCGCATTTCTCTTCCACTCTACTCCAAGGCCTTTTCCTCTTGCTTTATTCCCTAATTATCCCCAGGTGGAGTGATTTTTCATCACAGTATCTGAAAAAATTTCCTGCAGCTGAAAAAGAGGTCTCCAAAAGTCAATGCCCATATGCTGGTTCCTGAAGACAGCCCCTGGTTAAGGGGACCCTCACCAACACTCATGGGGCATCAGACATGTTGCAGGGTCGACTACCCCAACAAGAGTTTGCTGTGACCCCCAAGGCACGCACAACATCCCTGCTCACAAAAATGTAGTTGGCCCACTTACTGTTACTAAGAAGCAAAAATTAAAAAATTGTTCATGTTTCTTACTAAGATTATTTATGAGGTGGAAATTGTAATAGAAAAGAACAAATTTGACTCCATGTTAGATGTGTTCC